TAAAGTTTTTTATTACATTTTTTATATTTTCAGGATGTCTGAGATTTTTGTTTACAGTTATCATACATCATTTTGCTAATAAGAAAAACATGTTCTTTTGCTCCTTTTTGTTGTCTTTCTTTCTATCACAACACCAGGACACTTCTGGGCAATGACATCTCCCCACCCCACGGCTCCATGTGACCTGCACTGACCACATTGTGTGTGATCTGTTTCCATCCCTATTCACATTTACCTAGCCAGTTCTATGATACACACAGTCCTCGTTTTCTGGAATACAGTCCAAGAAGCTGGATATGCCACCTCTGTGTCCTCTCTCAAGAAGGGTTCTGTGCTGCTAGCTACGGCCAGAAAGTTCTACCCTGCTTCCCATCATGTTGCCCACATCCCATACTTACCAACTGCACCTGGGGTCTGTCTATGACTCTCTGTCTGTGATGATCTCAATCCCAGCAATCTCTGCTACTCCACTCCTAGAGTGCCCAAGTCACTTCTGGAAATATTGTGCTTGGCTTGTGAGGAGCCCAGGTGGACCCCACAGCCATATCCATGCTAATGACAGTTGGCAGGTTAGAGTAGCTCATTATTTCCCTCTTCCATAATATTATGATATAAATATTAATGCTATGAGTTTCGTTGAAAGACAGCTCAAAGCCCTGGGTATGTGTGGTGTTTACTGCTGTTTACTGATACATAGGCTCCTTGTTTTTATAGACCTCCCCCCTTTCCTTAGCCTTGCTGCTTCCTGGCCAGCCAGATGGGTTACTGGCCCTACTCTGTCTCGTGGTGCCTCTTGCTCTTGACTCCCTGGTCTGTGGTGACAAGGTCTGCCTTTATGCCACCATCTGCTGGATATGTTCAACTGCTCATCCAAAAGTAGCGTTCAGATACCCAGGGACTCTGCTGGGTAGAGTGATGTTCAGATACCCAGGGACTCTACTGGGTAGAGTGATCAAATGTGATGTTTCCCACATAAGCCACTATTTGGAAGCTCCTATGACATTTTCCTGCTTCCACTATGCAAGTACAGTGGTGACCTGACCCACACAATGAGCAATGTCTATTCGAATTGTTAAAGCCATGAGTACTGTTGATAGGAAATTCCTCAAAACAGCACTAGGTAAGTGAAAAGAAAGGACTAAATACCTCCTCTAAAAAATGCAGTTCCCCCACTGGTGCACTGGGGATCCTAATAACATTCCTGGTTAAGTCAAAAAGTGACAAAAGACTTAAATATGGAAAAGGATGTTCTTGAGCTGTGACAACTCTCATAAAAAGTGTGTCGTCTTTCTTAATTTAAGTTAATGTAGTCTTTTCTGGCCTGGTGTCCAGAAGAAGAGCAATTATTTCTTCTCTGCAGAGACTGTTTTGAAGAAGAAAATCCAAGTGTAACTTCTTTTCAGAAATCTAGTGTCTTTAAGAATTCTGAAAAGGAAATCATATTTTCATCTAGGTTATTATAATCTTATATCTGTTTTCCTTTTGTCATACACTTGGTAAATATCCTTTAGATGTGTTGCCCCATCTCAGAATGCCAAGACCCAATCAGTGGAAGGAATTGGAAATTGGAATTGGAATTGGAAATTGGATTTGGAACTGAGGGTAAAATGGGAAGTAATAACCCTCCAAGTAAAATTCTTGGTCTTGATAATCTTATAGAGAAAAGGTAAAGGAAAAAATAATATTGAAAACTGTGAATTGGATGGATATCATCTTATCATCCTTTTTCCAAGTTGAAATCTCCCAGCTGGCTTCATCTTCGAAATATCTGAGCTGTGTTTTTATAAAGAAAGATTTTTTTTCTTAATACTGTCTTCCAAGTGTTGATATTAAAGTATGAATTGGAGAACTTTGAATGGAAAAGGCGTTTGATCGCTGATTCTTAGCAATCTGAAGTGGGTGTGGTCACATGGAAAAGACGCAGGATTCGCTGCCGGATCTCCTTTGTCTTGACTCCGTAGACGATGGGGTTCAGCACAGGAGGAACCAGCAGGTAGATGTTGGCCATAATGATGGGCAAAAGAGAGTCACGCTGCTTGCTAAAACGGTGCACCATCGACAGTCCAATGAAAGGCACATAGAATATGAAAACAGCACATACATGAGAGACACAAGTGCCAAAAGCTTTCGCCTGGGCTTCACGTGTTAAACCCAGAACAGTCTTAAGGATGAGCAGATATGAGAAGGAAATGAGAAGAGAGTCCAGGCCGATGGCAGAGATGATGACAATGAGGCCATAGATGACGTTGACATGGATGTCAGCACAGGCCAGCTTCATGACATCTTGGTGCAGGCAATAAGAATGAGAAAGTATATTGGAATGGCAGAAGGGCAATCTTTTGATGAAGACAGGCAGGGGTGCCATTAGTGCAGCACCTCGAACCACAGCAGCCATGCCAATCTTAGTAACACGAGGCAACGTGAGCATAGTGGCATGGCGTAGAGGGTGGCAGATGGCCACATAGCGATCAAAGGCCATGGCCAACAGCACTGTAGACTCCATACCAGATAAGGAGTGGATGGCAAACATCTGTACCAGACAGGCATCAAACTGGATGGTAGTGGAATTAAACCAGAAGATGGCCATCATTTTAGGCATAGAAGAGGTGGAGATGAGGATGTCAAGGCCAGAAAGCATGCAAAGAAAGATATACATGGGCTCATGTAGGCTGTGCTCTGTCCTCACAACATAGATGATTGTCAAGTTTCCTAGCACAGCAATGAGATAGAGGGAGCACAATGGGAAAGCCAGCCAGAACTGAGACTCTTCTAGTCCTGGAAGGCCTATTAGGATGAAATATGTGGCAGTAGATTCGTTGCCATTGTGTCCCACCATACTGAAGGAGCTGAGCTGTGGCCAGTGCCAGGCAGGGTGAAGCTGGAATACAAAGACAGGCCATTGTCAGAGCCTCCCAAATCTTATCGTCATAGCTCCCTCCATTCTAATGTCCTACTCCCTAGCCAAACTCTATCAGCTGTTGAAACTGTGACCTGACTCTAAATTTAATCTAACCATGAATCAAGTACCAGATGCAAAATCCCTTAATCTTATTTGCTAACCCCACCTATACACTAAGTGAAATAAGTTAAAATCCTAATCATATAACCCATGACTTCATCTGTACTATCCTACACTTACATCAGTGCTTAATATTTGCTGTATTAATCATTTAAGCCATTGTCAGACACTAAAAAGTGAAGCTATGCGGGGGGTGGATAGTAAGTGAAAAAAATTGTTTAATATTTGCTGCAATTGTAGTCATTTCATTAGACTAAATTAATTATAGTCCAGATGCGTCAGTAGTAGTAGTAACATAGATTGAGAATGATGTCTAACCTCATCACTCATCTAATTAACTCAGTACTTAGTAGGCATTTCATTATTAATCTAAAGTGTATAACATCTATATGGCACTGAATTTATCCTGAACTCTAGTTCTGTACTTTGCCCAGATGTCCAGTCAAGATTTTACACCCGGGGCTGTAGAGATGGCTCAGCAGTTTAGAGCACTGGCTGCTCTTGCAGAAGACCTAAGTTCAGTTCCCACACCCACATGGCAGCTAACAACTGTCCGTAGCTCCAGTTCCATGGGATCCGAAGCCCTCTTCTAAGCTCTGCGGGCATTGCATGACATGAATGCATTTACCTACATGCAGGCAATACACTCATACACATAAAATAATTTTTAAGTTTTGCATTTGTCCTACTCAACTTATATTAGGAAAAGAATGATGACTGAAGTGCTTGCTATTGGTCCCACACTCAGAGCCCACTTGCAAAACCAAAGTGCCTGTCTCCACCAGCAGCTCCCCTTTTCTTCAGAGGATTGCTTTTGGTCAAGTGGGAGGCACTTCACAGAGGTGATTCCAGTATACCCCAGAAGACATAACCAGATGTCAGTAATTGTCAGGCATAAATGTACAAATGGCTAAATTCCTTGCCTCTATGTGGGAAGAATGTGATGTTGGTATTTGAATATGCCAAAGAAGTCAGAAATGCTTCCTTTAGTGGAAAAGACAAATGTTTATTATAGGCTTGTATATGCAGGACTCAGCTGTGGGTACAGATAAAAGGGGGATAACAGATGTCATTTGAACAAGAATCCCCCCTCTGGGCTAGAGAAATGACTTGCTGATTAAAGAGCTTGCCACACAGAGTTCTGATTCCTAGAATTCAACTAAATACCCGGTGGGTGGGCAGCTTGCCTGTAATTACATCTCGGAAGGCAAAGACAGGGAACCCCACATCAAGGCGGCTAGTAAGATCAGCCATCTCCAAGCTCTGTGTTTGATTAAGAGACCCTACTTCAAAAATATTAAAGTGGAAGAGGGGTTGAGGACAATTGCTGGCATCAGTCTTGGGCCGTCACACACACACATTCATACATACCTACACAAGCATGCACTCATACACATGTGAACATGCAGACACACATCTACACTATACACAGAGACACATGAAAGCAAGAAGGAAAAAAAAGAAGCCTCCCTGCCAGGCTTTGCTTCTAGAAGAGTCACCCAGCCTGAAAGTGGAACTGACAGTATTAGAATACTAACTCTGGAATGATGGCATCAGCAGCCCTGGAGGGATAACCATCTTATACCAGAGTTCAGGATGAATCAGAATTAAATTTGACTATAAAACTATATAGATACAGATATGCATGTATGTATAGATATATGCATGTATGCATGTATGTATGTATGTGTGTGTGTATAGATGGAAAGAAGGACGGGAAAGGAAGGAAGAAAAGAAAGGGGAAAAAGCAAGCCAGTCATCTCTTGGCTCCTTAGAGGACTGAGTCCAGGACACCTCACAAATATGGAACTCCAAATCCTAAAATCCCTCTTATGGCCTAGTATTCACATATTCTACTGTGTACTGTAAACCATTTCTAGATTACTTAATACAACGTAAATGCTATCTAAATAGTCGCTAAACAAATAGCCTTACAGCCATGAAACAAGCCCTGTGATACAAATTCAGAATTCTCAGGGAAGCTGATCTGGTCCCAGCTGAGCTGCGGCCTTGCTTGGTTTTCTTCCTCTGCCCTACACTGCTCTGCGTCTTTCAGCGCAGACATCTCCTCTTAGCCATAGTTTCACTTTCAGTTACTGCAGTCACCTGTGCTCACTTGAATTTTAAACATTATACAGAAAATTCCAAAAATAAATGGTTCACAAGCTCTACATTGACTGACACTCTGAATAGTATGATAAAATGCTGTACCATCCCACTCTGTCTTACCTGGGGCATTAGTCGTCCTTTACCTAGTCAAGCCACACTGACAGCCCTCCCCCACTAGTCACCTAGTAGACTCTTTGGATAACTCTTCTGCTGTCAAAGAATCACAGTGCTTATGTTATTAATAATAGTGTTTCTCAAAGCACAGTATATATCAATTATTTTCAATCCGTTGGTTAATTCTATGGATGCAGAATCCACAAATACAGAGGGCTGACTAGGTGTGTGTGTGTGCGTGTGTGTGTGTGTGTGTGTGTGTGTGTGTGTGTGTGTGTGTTTATTTGGGTATTTTGTTTGTTTGTTTTTTGAGATAGTCTCCCAGTAGCCCCAGTTGGCTTGGAACTCACAGAGGCTGGCTTCAATCTTACAGAGCTCCTCCTGCCTCTGCCTCTTGAGTTCTAGGATTCAAAGCATGTGCCACTCTATCTGACTGTGTGTGTGTGTGTGTGTAAGTAGACATACAGACAGAGGGAGAGAGAGATAGATGATAGATTAGATAGATGATAGATACATACATAGATAGATAGATAGATAGATAGATAGATAGAGAGATGACATATAGATGATAGA